TTTTATTGGGTGATTCGGGACTGGCGAAAGGGAGTTAGACAAGATGACTAACAAAAGGGGGAATTATGGATGATTAAAATGGGTGTTAGTTCATATAAATGGGCATTCGGGACCAAGTGGTATAAGCATGGTATGGGACGTGCAGGTCTGCTTGTCCAGTTATATGAATTAACGGGATTAGATGAAGAGCATTCATGCATTGTTACTAATAATGTGAAATTTGGCTGCTTGATTATTTGTCACTTAATTTAATTATGTCAATTTATAGTAAAAAGGTTTATGTCCTTACTGAGTTGTGGTTTCGCTCACCCCCTAATAGATTTTGCAGGTACCGAACCTGAAATCTAGAGCTTGTGATGATTTTTGGCATGTCTATAGAATGTAACATAGCTTGTGGTTGAATAATAAGCTACTCTTTAAGTGAACTCTCGAGTAGTTCTAACTTGTAAAATAATGTAAAATTTTTATGGTTTCAAACGTTATCGTTTCCGCGTTTCTGCTGAATATTTTATGTGAAATATCTATTTTATTTATTTAAATGTCTTCTTCATATTTTAGTTATAGTTTTTATTAAATTTTATAATTAAGGTGTGAATCACGTTGTAACCCAAGGTTTTGTAAATCCGAGGGTTGGGGTGTGACAAGTTGGTATCAGAGCTTTGTTTTACGATTTCATTAAATTGTTTTGTTACTCACTAATCTGTTAAAATATTGTTTAGGATGCAACCCGATCAGAGTAATGATACATGGGGAGGGTTCCAAATGGGACCCGAATGCCTTATCCCAATAGACGAAGAAGTATACCATAGTCGCCTACGTAACCAAGCCTATGTGGACGTTGTTAATGAAGTTGTAGAGACAGGGTATAGAAGGATGTTTTATACACCAGAAATGCAAAGACTTGTTGTTAGACATCGATTGCAGGCCAATAACATAAGGAGTCAATATCAGTTGAATGTTGAAGCACACTCTTACAACCAGGTATTAGAAGATGCTGCAATTATTGCTGCTAATATGTGGCCACCACCAGGAATAGACTTACCTTATATTCCAGAACCACAGGACTTAAACTTACCCCCTGTGCCAGACCCAGGAGATGAAGCCTATTTGGAACTTCTGGACCTTGATGCTTTATCTGCTGAATCTGTTGCGTCAGCTGCTTCAGTAGTTATCATTGAACCACAAAATCCCAGTCCAACTATCATCAATATAAGTTCTGATGATGAAAATGAATATCCCGAGCCCATTATCCCTCCTGTTGAAGTTATAGATATTAGTTCTGATGATGAATAGATTCTCTCAGAAGTTTGACTAATAAGATAGTGTAAGTCTAACAAGCTGATTTTGGTATGTATAGTTTTTGGTAAGCAGCCTTATGAAGGTTTTTAAATAGAAAGTTCCTTGTAATAGGTTTGTGACCATTTTGTTAAAATAGGTTTGTAACAACTTATAAATATTTAATAAGCATGTTTTTCTGTAATATTTCTTTTTTTTTCATATAATTTATCAATGTTATATATATAGGTATGTTTTCCTTTCTGATTTCTATTGACATGATTAATTGCATAAAAAGTTGCTATGAATTAATTAATTGTCAATTTTCATAATATGTATTACTTCATACAATTATTTTTGTGTCATGTCAGTATTTATGATCTTGATTTTTATTGAGTGATTTAACCTAAACTTAGTTGTGTGCATTAATTTCTGCAACTCATCAGCTTATACACTAGCAATTCTTTTTACTATATCATATAAATTTGTATTTGACTTACGAAGACTAGTGGCAGTTTTTAGTTTTGTTAGATTCTATTAAAATCTTGTGTACATTTCAGCATAGTTTGGAGTTTTCATAAATATAGCATGCAACATTCTCATACTTCATATTGTGAATATGTTAAGGTGCTTGTTATTATTTTGATACAGTCTATTCATGTTATACTTGATTGCTAACGAGTATAGCATTTAGTCATTTTATTTAGTTTACTTGACTCTTTAATTCACTAATCTATTTAAATCCATACTAAATTTTGTTAGCATCAAATTTTTTTTATTGGTATCCGTCATTATGTGTTTTACATTGTACATATAACAAATATGCTTATTTTAATATTTTATATATATATAATATATATATTTTAATCTTGTGGAATTATTTGGTATCAAGGTTTAATTATTAAGATGGCTGGAGTAGAAGGACAAAATGAGAATGATGTGAGTGATAGTATGAGAATAATGTTAGCCATTCAAGATATGGCATCTGCTATTCGTGAGACAAATCAACAAAACCACGAACCCCATCAGGAAACTCAAGATGATCAAATAATGAGGATTCAAGGAGAATTTCGTAAGACACGACCACCTGTGTTCAAGGGTGATCCAAACCCTATGGCAGCAGAAGAATGGTTAAGACAAATAAAGAGAAAGATGAATGAACAAAGAGTTCCTGGAAACTTGAAAGTGACCATTGCTTCTACCTATTTGGAAGGACAAGCTTATCATTGGTGGGAATCTGTCTTGGCTATGCCTGATGTTGAGGTTGCAACTTGGGTTGCCTTTGAGACAATGTTTCTGGAGAAATATTTTCCTGAAACTATGAAAACCATGAAGGTACGTGAGTTCACTAATCTGTATCAAGGTGGTATGACTGTAGGACAATATCAAGCTAAGTTCGAAGAACTCATGCGTTTTGCTCCTTACATAATTCCTGATGAATCTGCAAAAGCAAAGAAATTTGAAGAAGGATTGAGACTAGAGGTCAAGGAGAAAGTGGAACTTTTTAAATTGAAAAAGTATACTGAAGTTGTTGATCGTGCCTTAATGGCCGAACAAAGGATACCTAGTTCTAAAAGAGTTTTTGAAACCAAGAATCCTAACGGGGGACAAAGTAACAAACGCCAAAGATTTTTTCCCTCTCGTTCTCGATATCAAAATCCAAGATCATTTGAGGCAACTCAAAACTCAGGATTTTGTTATCATTGTCGACAGATATGACATTACCGGAGGGATTGTCCCTAGCTACAATCATATCAGATACATGTTGCTCCACAACCACAACCACAGTTTCGTGCACCACAACAACAATTTCAAGCTCCACAAACACAGTACCGTGCTCC